CAGTAAATTGCAGTATACAATGAAAGGATAAGTAATTTTCCTTAAAAGGATTTGTGGATGTATGTATGTGTGATGTGCATGTTTTCATTGGTGATAAAAGGAAAGATTAACATTAAAATTTATTCTTGAAACTCTAGCAGTATGATGTGATAGTGTCAATGTTAAAGATAGTGTTAAAGAAGCCAGAAGGAAGAAAATGTTAAATAAAGATCTGGAATATACCCTTTTTAATATCCTTGAAATGTCAAACATGCTTAAAAATATACTATGGTGTAAAATTTACAAGCAGCCTATCCCAAAGGTGCTTTTTTCAAGAGGCAATTGGACTTTCTTGTTGTTTCTTTTGAAGACATTTTGCTTCTCATCCAAGAAGTTTCTTCAGCTCTGATTGGATGGTGGGGAATGGAATATAAAAATAATGTATATTCCTTGTAGACAACTGGCCATTTGCATTCCGACAGGCCTGGGGCTAAAGAGTTTTTGCCCCCCCCCCCTCGAATGGTATGGTTGTTGTGTGCTTTTAAATTGTGTATTGTTTTGTTTGTCTTTTTATCCCTTATCTGCATCCCCTTCCCTGACTTGGATTGTGAGCCGCCCTGAGTCCCCTCCAGGGAAAAGGGCAGCATATAAGTGCAATAAATTCAATTCAATTCAATTCAATTCAATTCAATTCTTTTAGAGAGTTGTTGGAATCAAATGGTTTATCTGTGTCCTCAGGATCACCTGAGTAGTGCAAATGGGTTTGGAGCCTTCTTGGAACTGTTGAAAGGACTATGTGGTAAACTGGAGATAGATGTCATATTCGTCCCCCTCTGTTGAGAGAGAGCTGTTCAATTTGGACATAGATGGCCTCTTTGACCCCTCCAACCATTGGTCTTCTCTGTCCAAAATGTGGACTTTTCTGTCCTCAAAAGAGTAACCTTTGTCTTAAATGCAGATGGACTGCTGAATCTTGTCCTGATGGGTTTGTTCCTGAAAGCTTGTATGTTTTATTAATATAGAACCATGGCTTCATAGGGCTGTAAGGGATCATAGATATCTTCTGGTCCAACCCCTGCTCAAGCAGAAATATAGTCAAATGGTTATGCAGTCCATTTTTTAAAAACTCCAGTGATGAACTATCCACAACTCCAGGAGGCAATCTTTTCCATTGATTAATTGTTCTTACTGTCAAAACATTTAAGACACCCTCCCCCAAATACATATAGAATTTTAAATCCATGCTGGCAATCCCATTGTTAAATCATACAACACCCTCCTCCTGTATAACATGAAAGATCTTCAAGCGTTTTTTTTTTTTTTTTGAAAGCCTGTTAAGGATGAAACTCATAAGATTCTCCTAGGAGGAAATCTCAAAGAATATCATACATAATGCTTCATGAAAGATTTTCAATAGAAGACAATGTGTGTTGAATATCTCAGTATTATCTCAAGAGTTAAAAACCATGCTGAATCATCTGATTTGGAATTAACACATATATCAGAGCCGGGGATGTTTTTCCCCATAATAATCTCATGAAGAAAGCCTTAGCCTTACTAAGAACTTATACAAATCACTATAATACAGTCATGATAAAGAATAGCATTCATATATAGCAGGAAATCTGTATGTAGAAAATTTTATGCAACCCAACCATGCAATTAATCAGTAAGATAGTGTTTTTCCATTTAGATGAGAATAAAGTCATTGGACTAAATGGGAAGTGTTTTAAATTAGTTGGAAGCAGAAGAATGTAAACCATATATGCATAGGAAAGACTTAAAAGAAAAATTGAGGGAAAATAATTTAGAAGACAATTCTGAACTTATGCATACCAAACAGGCTGTGTGGAAATTGAATACTTCTCAGCTGTTTCACAAATAAATGTGAAAAAGCTTTTATTTCAACTATATTTCAGAAATGAAAAAATGGGCGTGAGAAAGAGAGGAACTGTATCAGAGGTGGGTTTCTGCCAGTTTGGCCAGGATCGGGTGAACCGATAGTGACGGTGCCCACCCGCCCAAGTGAACCAGTAGTAAAAAAATTGAAAATCCACTACTGAACTGTATGTTCAGCCACCATATATGAAAAAGCAGTAAATGAAATGGCAGCACACTCTTGAAAATTGTTCTATAATTCCGGGGTCCCCAACCTCTGGTCCATGGCATGCCAGCAACCAGGCTGTGCAAACAAGTGAAGCCCCATCAGTGGGATGCAAGCACCACCCCAAACCATGCCCCCTCCAACCTTTTTCCACAGAACTGGTCCCTGGTGGCCAAAAGATTGGGGCCACTGCTATGAGGAGGGGGGGGGAAGGATGTTTAAACATTTGTTTCAATATCTACCTATTGTGTGAAAACAGAAGCAGAAACAAGAACAAACGATCATTTTTCTAATGCAGTTCCAAAGGTTTAATTGCATCTTATTATTCTTTATAAAGAGTATTAGTTGTTATTGGTGGAGCATTCCAATCAGCCTAAATGTGCAGGTTTTTTTTAACTGATTCTTAGACAAAATTCTAACTCAAGATTTGTCCTTTTCATAAAGGACAATTATTAATTATTTAATTAAGCAATGTTCTACTGACCTTTCTTATTAACATAATACTCATTATTAATAAAAATATTGATGTTCAGGGCTTAGGACTAAACTCTGTGGCATCTTATGTGATGTTTTATGCTGATTTAATGAGGAACCATTGAAAAATATAATGGATAGAATACCTTAGACAATTGTGCATCAACTTAATTTTCATATTTGTCCTACCTTTACAACATTAATGTGTCATAGCTTTTTTTGAACATTCTAGTTGAAATATATGTTTTTCTCTTCTCCAGTAACTTGTATGACTTTTGACAAGTTCAAATTCTCTGATCTTGATCATTCATATCTGGAAGTATTTATAAATGATCCAAACATAATCCAATGTTTGTTGTCAAATTTCATATGCTATTGCGAATGCTAGTTTTTGTAAGAAATGATTGCCTTTGAATTTTGTAGAAAATAAATGCATTGATAGAAAACAAAAATGCAAAAGCAAAACATTAACAATTGTTAACAATTTAACAATATAAACAACAACAGTAACTGCATTAACCTGGATCAGATTAAAATTAAACTTGACAAGTGGAATTAAAGTTTATTTCTATTACAAATGGAAGCAATTAGAGGCTAGAATATTTAAGGGGCCTTCTGCCAGAATGCATTGGACTCATCAACTTATAAACATGCAAGTACTGATTCTTACTTATAAATAGTGCATATTTACATTTAGACCCACCCCATCAAAGAAAGCAAATGAGAACTCAAAACAATTATGGAACAAGCCTAGTAGATGTATTACTTACAATTTTGAGGGCTTTTCATGTAAGATAAATAAAAAGATCCAATAATTAGGCAGGAATTGATTAATGATAAAAAAAGAATTAAGTGATCATTATTTTTTGTGCTGTTCATTATATATAAAGCAATGACCAAGAGCAGCAACATCTAACTGACTTTTGCTGGTCTTGAAAAAGGCAGACATGATTGGCACTTGGATAAGATTCCCCTGGAAAATCACACAACTATAGATAGATAGAGAATTTGAAAAGACAATTGATCAGGGATTTAGAGAAGGCCACAAAGTTCTTGATTGGAAAGCAGCATGCCTTTAACTACCAGATGTTCAAGATTTCAGCAGAAACTAGAGCTCTCATGGCCTTTTTGACTGTCATTGGACAGATTTATTTATTTATTTATTTAATCAAACATGTAAAAGGTAACAGGTATAAGTATAAACATAAATAAGAACACAGTAAATTGGTATGAATAAATGGAGATAGTAGTACAGGGACAGTAGGCATGCTTATGAACGCCCCTTACAGATCTCTTAGGATTTGGGTGAGATCAATAGTAGACAGTCTTAGGTTAAAATTATGGGGGTTTGGGAAAGTAACAACAGAGTTAGGTAGTGTATTCCAGGCTGTGGCTGAAGTTGTATTTTCTGCAATCGAGTTTGGAGTGGTTTACCCTGAATTTATATCTATTGTTTGCTTGTCTGTTATTGTGGTTAAAGCTGAAGTAGTCATTGATGAGTAGGACATTGTAGCAGATAATTTTGTGTACTACGCTTAGGTCAGACCATAGGTGGCGTAGTTCTAGGTTCTCCAAGCCCAAAATTTCAAGCCTCGTGGCATAGGATATTCTGTTGTGAGTAGAGGAGTGAAATACTCTTCGTGAAATACCTCTGGATTCTCTCAATTGTATTAATATCCAATATCAGTGTAGATTCCAGGCAGACAAGCTGTATTCGAGAATTGGTCTACCAAAGGTTTTGTATGTCCTAGTTTGCAGTACAATATTACCAGAGAAGAAGCTTTGCAAGATTAGGTTGACATTGCCTTTTTGGCAATGCTGTTACAGTGAGCTCTGGGGCTTAGATCATTTGAGAGGAGTACTCCAAGGTCCTTGACAGAGTGAGGGTCATCTACGAGGTCATATCCGCCCAGCTTGTATTTGGTGTTCAGAATTTTTTTTGCCAATGTATAAGACAGAGCATTTATTGGTTGAGATTGGAGTTATTCTATCAAAGTGAGGCTGAACTAGAGAGCTTTTCAATCTATGCTCTTAATTTTTCTTTTCTCTGCTATTAACACATTAGGTGGCTTTAAACAAAGCCCTCTTACTCAACTTCGATTCCTTGTCGCATTTTGGGGGGGGGGGTAGGGTGGAGTGACCTATTTACAAGAAAGGAGACAGGATTACAAGAAAAGAAGTATGTGAGACGCTGTAAATATCACCTTAAAGGGTTAGATAATTGCTTAACGATGTAACTCTTTTTATTTTAATCCAAGTGATGCTCTATCGTTCCGTCGTTTTCCCGCTCCTAGCGCTACCTTTTTAGCAGCGATGATTTACGAGGCACGGAGGTGAACCGAAAGCAGGAGTTGGGCGGGGCTTATTTGACCTTAGCTCCTCCCACCGTTGGTGGTGTCTGCGCGTCGAGGCGAGGAAGAGGTGGCGGTAGTTGGCCGCAGCGGGACTGTTGTGGAAGGAGCTCTGCGCATCCCCCCACCCGCGCCGCTGGGTCTTCAGCTCGGTTTTTGGCATTTGAGGAACTCAGGCCAGTGGAAGGAGAGGTGCTGCCCCATCCCGTAGAGAAGAAGCAGTAAGAGCAGCAACCACCAGCAAGGAAGACCAGCCGCGTTTCCACAGAGACTTGGGCAGGGCAGCCCGGCCAAAGCAGACGGAGGGGCTGCGGGCTGCTTGCCAAGTGGGTCCCAAGAGTGGAGCAAGCCGAGTGGCTAGCGAGGATGCTCGGCGCCTGCCGCCCGTCTTCGCCGCCGTTGCTGTTGCTGTTCCCTCTACTGCTGCTGCCCGGAGGGGCGCTCAGGAGCGGGCTGGGTGGCACGGTAGCGAGCGAAGGTGAGAGCACACGTCTGAAGCGAGATAAGGAGGCTTTGTGTGCATGGGTGTATACGTGCGCGCGCGCAAGAGGCAGGGGCGATATGCCGCAGAGTCACCCGACCTTTCCTTGCTGTTTTCGTTGCCCTGCATCCGAGGCGTCTTGAACCGCCCGGGTGGAATGTTGTGTGGTTGCGGCGGCCAGTTCGCGGCATCTGAGTAGGGAAGGTGGAATCCCCGCTGCTGCTAGTTTGTGCCCTTTACCTTTATATTTGTGTGGATGGGGAAATATGTGTAAGGTTTAAGCGTATCTGAAATGGAATCCCACTTCGATCCGGGAACCGTTCCCCAAATGGGTGTTAAGCGGAGGGGGCCTTGGCCAAATGAAATGCGCTCTGCACATGCTTAGGGATGTTTTTTCTGCCCTTCGGGCTGTGTGTCCAGTTGCAATGATGCGGATTTACAAGGGAATTAACTTCGTCCTTTCTCTCTCTCAGATCCTTTTCAAATAGTGCTTCGGGTGCCTTTTGCCCTTTAAGGAGCAGGTGCCCAGGGCATTAAAATGACGTTTTAATTGTGTCTCCTCGTCATTCGGTTCGAAAGAATTGTAAACGCTATAGAAGGGACTGGCTTCTCTTGCTTCATGACATTTATTCAGTGAAACCTTATCCATGCTTTATGCCTTATTTCTGATGTCAGAAAGAGCTTTTCTTCTATTGCTGCAGTTCAGGGTAACATTCTGGAACAAAGCTTCCAAACAAAGTTGCTAACACCTTGTGCCCTGACTGAGGAGTTTTGGAGGATATTTGCTTGGAGTGATCATGAATGAATAAGAGTTTATTCTTCACCTCCAATAACTGTGTCTAGGAAATGGTAGTATGCTTACCAAAGGAAAGGAACCCTGACAAATAGGACTGCAGTGGGTCCAGTTGGGTTGGTGAGGGTCCCAGGCATGAGTCATTGACCTTTTATCAGTCTGGCTTCAGCTTCTGTCATCAAAATGGTTGTAGCAGAATTGATACTTTTTTCAGCTTTCATGTGGCCTTCTTTTATGGATTTTTATATAGGCTGTAAGCCTCATAATAGAAGAGGCACATTTAGTGTGGATTTGGGTTCTCTAAAAAGTAAAAGATTTTTCAGGGAAATGAATATCTTTCCTAAGATTGTGATACATTGATAAGAACTCCAAGAAAGCTTTGCATACAATAAGGAGGGGCCTCTTGACGATATGAATTTTAAGCACATTTCTGGATCATTATAGTTAGGAATTTTTTTAGACTTTAACTTAAAATACATTTTATTAATTGTGAAAACAAAATAATCTAAAAATGAGAGACAGATAAATGGTGGCTATAGATTGGGGAGGGGAAACACCTAGATATATTGTGGTGATTAGGATAAATAAACCATAACCAAAAAAAGTTTAAAATCAAATTAAGAAAAAAATGAGAGCCATAAATTATCTACAAGAACATACATCAAATTAAATCAGTTTTTGAGCTTATTAAATTGAGATATCTATTTTTTTTAAAAATAGATTACAAAGTCCTTACCAATATACAGATTCATACTCTGAATCTACTCCTTAAAATCAGAAGATGGTTTGTTTCATTTATTCTCTTGGCTTTGCCCCAGGCTTAATAGAGCAAAGCTCTTTATAAAATGACAGAATTAGTGTTTTTGAAATATACTTCAATTTAAGGTCACATATTGACCTATGTAATAACTTAAAACCAAACTGAGGACAAGACAACATTATATGTATTGAAGAGCCTTCAAATTCGTTATCATGCCAGAATGGGAAAAATAATCCAATAGTTATAAAACATTGAGAGGTTCAATAAACTCAGCACATTTTCTGATAATTTTAAATTTATTAGCAGTTGGATGCAATGGTTCATCAAAATTGTACATCTGAATACTTCATTTCACAATTTGGATATATCACTAAGGCTAATTTTCATTTTATTTTTTGTTCCCTATAATTTCGGATTGTTGGTTTCCCTTCAGCATTAAAAATCCTAAATTTCCAGGAACCTCTGAGGTTGCTAAAGCATCCAAATTATAATTGAATAACCTTTTTTGTATGGAAAGAAAGGATATAAATCTGATAAGTAATATCAATACTAATAGGAAACAATGATATGAAAACTGAAGGATTGTAAACCCATAGCTTAGGTATTTATGTTCTTCCATGCCTAGTTACTTTTTTCATTCTGTATCCTGTTGGGCTGCATTTCAGGTTACATCATTCTCAAGCACTTTTATTTTTAAGATTTGCTAGCAAACAAGAAGTTATTCTGGATGTGTCAATGTTATTCTCTTGTCTGTCAGTGCTGGCTACAATCTAATTGATACCATAGCTTTTTAGTTGGTTTATTGTTGGGAAGAATAATGAACATATGTTGACTAGCAGAACTTAAAAGCAAGATGTGATCTTTTTAATATTTCAGAATCACTTGAATTGTTAATGACTTCTGACAGGCATGTTTAAAGACTGCCCAGTTTGGTCCGGGGTCTCATCCAAAGCTTTATTCATAGTAAAATAGCAAGAGTTGTATTCTTCTGGATAGTGTATAATTTAAAAATCATAAGTAAGTTTCTGATTGGGAATACAGCATTACAAGAAATATATTTGCCTTCCACATAAGTAAATTGAAAGGAAGTTGCACAAAAGGATGGTGTGTTCATAATGAATTTCATGTCCATTACCATGAACCTGGTTGCTTTCTTAGAAATACAGGGCTCACTAGGCTAAGTAACTTGGAAAAGCTTATCCCAGAATTGCTTTGTTTGAGGCAATGATAACTAGTGGTAAAATTAAGAATCTTGGTTTTTCATATCACTCCAGCAGATTGCTTTAGGATGATTGGTTTAGGCAACTAAAGTGTTTTGACCATACAGACCATTCTGATCTGAAGGCAAATTCTTTTGTTCTCCCAGACTGTCTTTTTTACCATGATGTTTTGTGCAAACAATGAAAAGAGGAGTATTACTGCTATAAAACCAATCTGTACAGCAGTCCAGAGCACTGGAAACATTTGGGAGCAGACTTTCAGTTGAGTCCCAAAAGCAGAACAGAGCAGGTGTCAAGCTGTCCTTGTCTTCCTACTAAAATCAAAATAGGTTCCCAATTATTACACTGAACTTCAGGGTCCATATTTATCCATGTAATTAAAATTATTTCTGTGTTTGAGTACTACCATTTTAACTGTTGAGAAAATTTGCATTTATCTGACACACTTCAGACTAAATTTTTCAGGGCAGAGACTCTTAATCCACACTTACTTTATTTTGGGACTGTTCAGTATTTCAGTATTTAAATATTTCCCCCAGATAGATTTAAAATGATTAGAATGAATTATGATTTATCCTGATTTCCATTATTTCAAATGAGAGTTTTGCCAAAAAAATTAGGCCGTATCTTTATGATATTTTATTAACTATAGTTCTAGGTAGGGAGCAATGCTTGTTTAAAAGGACATTGTTTTGAAAAACAATACTTTTTTTGCCATAGTGAGTACCAGTTTGTATAATGGTTAAGGTATTGGCAAGTTCTAGTTCATCCTGGGCATGAACACTCTGTGTGAATTTGGCCACTTGTTCTTTTTTAGCCCAACCAGGTGTTGCAGGGTTACTTCGGGGGGTGGGGGTGTGAATGAAGAGATACTGCTATCTAAGCCTGCTGGAGTTGCTGGAAAAAATGTGTGATACCAATTGTAGTAATAATAGCTATTGATCATAGTCCCAAACACTAATTATATGTTATATTATCAAAAACTCGCCTGCTGTTACAGCATGATGTTGGGTCTAGAAAAGAGTCTTAAACATCTTTTTCTGCTTGGATGGAAAGTTTAATTCTTTTTTCTTGGGGAATCATTTTTATCAGCAATTACTCTTTAAAATGTTCTGTTTTAGTCAAGTTTCACAACTAATGTATTATAAGCTGAAATTTCTGCATGTTCATACATGTTTTGTCACTGAGAAGCACTCCGATTTGCTGGGCCAAAATTCATAGCCTTTTCATTTACACCATTTTAAGATTTAATTAGGGAGGCAAAATGACAGTAATTCAGGTCACATCCTACAAAGTCAATAAAATATTCAGGCTGCAGGAATGATTTTGTGGAATTGAGCAGACCATTGTTTTAGAATACCATAGTAAAATTTGGAAGAGGGAAGAGAAAGTTGAGAAATACCTGATGAATTAATTTGATACATAGTTTTTGATTCCTTGCTATTTTGGGATTCTGTGCTTTGTAAGGCATAAATAAAATTTAGAATGAAATTTAGAGGAAGCTTTAGTTTATTTACCAATGGCCACTTGCACTATTTGGAAGTGTATTTGTAAACAAGTATTATCTGATTAGCACTTTGCACAGCAGGACAGCTTGGCCTGTTATGTTTGTATAATTCTGACTCACCTTATGAGTGAAGTGATTCACCCTACAGCGAATCAGGTCTCATTCATCCAAGTAAGAGTCAGTGGTGCCCTTTTTCTTTTGGGCATTTAACAGTTGTGCCAATAGTGTAGGTTTTCAGAATGTAGTTGAAGTTTCTGCAGCTTAGTAGAACTGAAAAATATATTAATGACTTTTACAAACTTCCTTGTGAAAGGTGTGTTATTTTTTAAAGAGCTCCAGTTGGACTTAAATGAAATCTGCTTGAACCCCCTTGATTGGAGGGATGTCTTGTTCTTAGCATTTTGTCCTGAAAGTGTTGAAAGTATAAAAATGCTTCTGTGTAATTTGTGTGGGTATGCATTTTTACATTGTAATGTTTATTTAGCACAAATCTCTCTTCAAATGATTTTTAAAGAATGCTAGCTTTTTCTTCTTTGTACTTCTTTGTAATGATTTAACAGGAAGTTTACTTATACTTGTAAATGTTTTATTATTGGAATGGTGTGTGTGTGTGTGTATATATATATATATAGAAACTATATATATTAGTTTCTCTTAGGTTCTCAGAGCAGAGTGATACACTTGTTATGTCATAGCTTCATGTACAAGTTGGATTTT